ACGCTTCTGCGGCAGATATTCATGTCCTGCGAATTCAGCTGCCAAGCCCAGAAAGGCCCTTTAGGTCTATATCCAGTGAAGAGAAATAGAGGTGTAAATGAGATGTTCTTTTATGGGAATAATAACAGTACAACACCAGAGATAATATAATAGAAGGAGAAATTGTCTGTCCTTCAATATCATCATCCCTATCATCAGAAACCAGCATTTTGCAATCACAGTGATCAACATTTTATCGACGGTTATGTTGTACGTTGGAATCAGAAAGGTAGTTCCTAACATTCTTCTGTATCAAATATGTTTTGCTGAGATATACTTAACATACAGCATTATATTAGTTTCAGGTGCACAACATAATGATTCAATATTCATATATAGTGCAAAATGATCACCACGATAAGTCTGGTTATCATCCATTACCATACATAATTACCAATCTTTTTCTCGTCATGAGAACTTTTAAGATTTACTCTCTTAGCAACTTTCAAATATGCAATACAGTATTATTGACTATAGTCACCGTGCTGTATACATTTCCATGATGTTAATGTTTAAGTGTATGAAAGTCTTTAAAGTAAATATCTTACAAAAGATAAGAATGTTTATATTTCCTATTTGGAGTACAAACAATTCCAAAAGCATTATTTTTTAAAAAATTCAAGATTTCTGCTATGTCTGCATCTGAAGTACTAATGAATTTTCTCAGACATTTGATTTGTACTGTTTCATTTCAGCCAACTCAAGGGCCAGAGTTGTGCTTACTGATTTAATTTAGAAAGAGACAGGTGCCTGGAGACCTCTAAATTTATCTCATGCCTTTTTCCCCTTTACACGGGTCGCTTCAACTTCTCATTTCTTAGAGATGGTATATATTATCAACCAATCATTTTATATTCATAATAATTAGTAGTTTATGTTAAAGAAAAGCTCTTCAGTCATAAGTTAAGTGACATTAAAATAAAATTAGTTTGTCTTCATATGCTTAAGCTGTTTGTAGAAGGTAATATTTTTGCAATTTGTGTTGCGATAGAGAAAATTTCGGTGATTTTATTTTCTCTCTCATCTGGAGTAGAGAGAGAGGAGAAGGAATATTGTGAATACCTTAGTTTTAGGTGGTAATCAGTTAATTAAAAATCTTAATAGCATTTTCGTAAAAGGACTAGCCTTCACTGTCATTCTCCATTCAAACCACTGCTTCGAACTATTTCCATTAACCATGCCTAGTAATGGCGTATCAAATACAATGTGTCTTATCTGATTGACAAAACAGAAAATGAAGAGGCAGAAAAATGGAAACTATTTTACTTTACTTACTCATAAGTGTAGGGAGGGATATTAATTAAACCTAAAATAAGATTCACCTCCCCTACAGTGCCAAAACTTCCATTTTAACATATACTTTAAAATCCATTATATTTCTGTATTAGCAATGGAAGATCAGAATTTAAGTTAAAGCAATGCTATTTACGTTAGCACTATATATTTATATTCATGTTTATAATTATATATATGTGTATGTGTGTGTGTGTATATATGCATATATGTGTGTGTGTGTGTGTATATATATATGTGTGTGTATATATATATATGCATATATACACACACACACACACAGACACATATATAATTGTACTTATAGGAATAGATCTGACAAAATATGTGCACACACACTTAGGAATAGATCTGACAAAATATGTGCAGGATCTGTGCTGAAAACTAAGTTTTTGATGAAAGGAATCAATAAACAAAAATAAATGGAAACATATACAGTATTCATATATTAAAAGATTGAGTATTGTTAAGACATCATTTCTCTCTATTTAGATCTATAGATTCAATGTAATTTCAGTCAAGCTCTCGGCAAGCTATATTCCTAGTAAGCTGCTAATAGATCATTCAAGACAGCAAGTTCAGTCATTCACAACTAATACTTTTTCTGTCTTTATAAAGTCTCAAGTTCAGGAAGTAACATCAGTGCCATTAGGCAAACATGCTTGATCTGGGTATAATTGGCAGCTTCTCTCCTGGCCTCCAAATTCAGCAGACTCTAAATGAGCAGAGAATATACTTGTTTGAATGCCATTGACATAATTATAGGTTCTATCATTATGAGAGTGTTTCCTTCTTTCTTGTATAATCTATTGGACATTTAGAAAGACTATTTTATAGTCGTTTAGAAGAAATTGGAAGGAATAAAAGTTAAAAAAAAATGAATAACTTCAAAGTTAGTGTTAAAGGCAAACTTAAATTAAGTATATTGAGATGGCTATGAAATGAAAATGGAGAATCCGATCATCATTATCAAGTTTTATTTTATACAAATAAATTCAGTTTCCTAAGGGAATAGAAGTCGGTAAGGATATAAGTTTGTAGTCATCGAATATGACATATAAGCATTTGCAGTGAGTTATTTGCTAGTAAAATGTAATACTAAAAATTTTTGTATATATTACATTGCCATTTTAAGAGACATACATATGTACCAAAAGTTAAAACAAGTTGCATAAATATTTTGAGCCATGCCTAAATGAGAAGAGAAAAATACAGGATTCTTTTCTATTCTATTTTATAACTATTAATGTGTATACATTATTAATTTAAGAGCATATGAATAAACTTATTTAGTACATATTTTTTAACATTATCCTTCTAAACTGAAAGAATAAAGGGCTTGTATCATCATCAAGAGAGTGATTCATATATTAACATTAATAAGTATTAATTACTTTTTAAGTATTGAAAAGACATTAGAGAAAATTATAAGGCATCTATCTATTGAGGTAGAAGAAATTTGCTTCTTTATCACTCAGCAACATTTTCATTTCAAGCCCTCTGCTCTCTCTAATACTAAAAAACATATTAGTCAGTTGTAGGTAAATTCAGTATTACAGGTTTAAGCTCAGTCTGTTCAGAATTCTCCAATCCTATTTCCAGCTCATTCCACCTTAAACAGCTTCTTTCCGGTATGTCATTCTAGATTCATAACGTTGAGAGTTAGGATGGTTGGAACCGCATCTTGACCTTGGCCTGTCCTTGTCTGTTTATGTTTGTATCTATGTGCGTTGAACCATCTCGCCCTCACAATGATCAACTTCAAACACAGGTGTCTGCTGAGATACTGAGTTTTTATTCAGGCTCTGCTTGTGTAGCTCACACGGCATCTACTGCTTTATCTCTTTGGTCCACATTAAACACTCCTTCAGGTGAGCTGGCTCTCTTTCTGAGGCAACCTCCATGCTTTTCTTGTAGGCACGAAGAGGCTTCGCGTGTTCTTTCATTCTCCTGGAAGCTCCTATCAGCCAGTGTTCCCGTACCCCGGAGTCTCCTGACCCCACCTCGCCTCCTCTGTACTTCAGCTGTTGTGCCTTGGTGTTTGCATTGAGGCAGCTGCTGCCTACCTTGTTTTCACTAAAAACTTAAATTATATGCAAAAAAAAAAAAATGTTTTTTTCCCAAATGCAGCCAAAATTTATTATTTTAGAATGTACAATTTTCCCAGTATTTGAATTCTTTGCGTATTTATTTCCTCTGTATTGAAAAGAGAAATCAGGAAAAATGCTTCCTCTGTAAAGGCCTCTCCCCGACCCCCCATCCCTTTTTCTTCCGAGTAAATTTCCAGCCACATGGCCATAGCAGTAGTCTTAGAGGATACTGTGAAAAACAAATTATCTTCTTAGAGTTCAGAATTAGGAGCATGTCTGCATAGATGCCACAAAAGCACACACTAGAACTCAACTATAACTGTTAAGAAAATAGTCTTATTTAATTTTCCTCAGCAGAGATTTCTTAAGAACATAAACCAGTCTCTTAGCTGCAGAGGAATGTAGATCTGGCTTGTTTATTTCAAAATTAAAATCTAAAAAAGTGACAGGGAAAAGATACAGGAAGAGCTAGATTACAGTTGCTTTGCCAGTGTTTGCTTAGTGACTTTGGGCATGAAAATACTTTTAAAAATTCTACCAAGAGTTCTCTCACGAAGGAGACTAAAGCAGAATGTTATAAATTGATCTGCTTTGATAAAACATTACTAAAAGGTGAAAGAATACATAGATATTACCCAATTTCTGGGGCTTCAAGAGTTGAAAATTTCCAGTTTGGGCAGCTTGATCAGATGAACACGTCAATGACATAGTTACAATAAACAATTCCATAGACTATGAATGTGTTTTTAATTCAAAATCCCTGGGCCGAACCAAATGTTTTAATGAAGTCCCTTAAGTAATTTATTCATGTAAGATGTTGGTTATATTTCTTTCAATTTCTCTGTCCATTCACTTTTTATTCAGTGGTCTTCAAGAGGTAGTGTGGACCATTACTATGTTTTAGAAATAACTGATGTGCTACATTATTAGTTCTGGAATTATTTTAGACAGTGAGTGCATTGACAATTCAAATCAAAAGCCTGAAGCAATTCTATTAGACCTTGGACATTAAAATATCTTATAAGAGAGAATAAGGCAGAGAAATTCAAATAGATGTTTTAGTAGTTCAATTGTAGATAACATCTAGATGCATGAATTTTCAGGTGTTAATATAATAAATCTACTTGTACCAAAAATGATCATTACAAGTTATTGAAAATGTGATTATTAAAATTCATTTCTTAAAAGAATCCTTTCATTCATCTATTTGGCATTCTCTTTGTTCAAATATTGGTAAATATTTTATCCAGTGATTCTCATAAATTATGAGTTTTCTGAGCTAAAAATTAGCTTTTTATTTGTTATTGTCTTGTAAACCACCAACTAAAAACATAATGAAAGCATAAATTATCAAAATAATGTCAGTGTGAAATTTAATGATCGTAATATAGAAAAATATTTTTATAACTCTGAAAACAACTCAGTAGAACTTGAAGTTTTTTCCGAATGTTCACAGAAAGATCTTAAAGGTTTGAGGATATTTTTAACTTCATACCTTTGTAAGAAAGTCCCAATAAACATAAAACAGGTGAGATTATTAATTCATCACAGGTTCTATATCATATAATATGTGATTTAAAAGATATATGCCTCCTGAATCTACATGCATAGTAAAGAAGCAGGAAGAATAGGCAATATACCTCATTTCTAAACTATAAAAGTCTTAGAACTGTGAATTTAAAAAAGAACAATAAAAATACTCAGAAAATTTATAAGACGTGGTCCCTGCCCTTAGCTACTTCCCTTCCATAAAAACTGAAAGTAAAACTCATATGCTTTTTATTATTCATAAAAATGAGCCATTGTTGACTGCTTAGCAAAGAGAACAAAGGTGAGGAACAAAATTCTGTGAGAAAAGTAAACTAACCAAAGCAACTTTTTCTCACTTTTATGATTTTGAATATCTGTTCCTATTGGATAACAAGATAAATGTTTGTAGGCCATTCAGAAAAAGCAACAATAAAATAAACACACAAGCAAACTTCGAGTTCAGGGACTTTGACTACAGTTGTTTTATGATAGTAATGTTATCCAAAGACCTATTTTTATTTTTTTAGCTCTACTTGGAAATAATTTCAAACTTACAGAAAAGTTGTAAAAACTAAAATTAGTACAATAACATCCATATATTCTTTATCTAGATTCACTTATTGATAACATTTACCTCATTCGTTTATCACTCTCATTCTCTATTTTCATATACACACATACACATATATATATAATTTACATACACATAATTTTTTCCTGAGTTTTTGAGTAATAATTTACATATATCATGGCTTCTTACCCCTAAATATTTTAATATGTGTTTCCTAAATATAGCAGTGTTCTCTTTCATAACCATAATACTGAGATCAACCTCAAAAACTTTGACATAAATACAATATCAGTACATGAAAATATTTTAATCTAATGTACCATCCATATATTTACATTCAAATTTTGTCAGATATCCCAGGATTGGTTATAGTAGGATTGTTTTTTTTTTTTTTTTTTTTAACCAGATTTTTTTTCCGGCCTTCCAGTATAAGACTCAGACTAGGGTGAGGAATTGTATTTAGTCACATCTATTTGAATTTCTTTAATCTGGAATATTTCCACAGCCTTTCTTTTTCTTTTATGACATTGATATTTTTTGAAGAATGAAGCTCCCTATTCTTTGGTATGTTTATCTGGTGTTTACTTGTGATTGATGTTGTCCTGAGCAGAATTGTTGCACAGGTGATGTGTCTCAGGGTATCATATATGAAGACAGGTGATATCCATCTGTCTCTTATTGGTGAAATTTGTTTTGGTCTCTCGAACAATTATCTTTATGTATTATTCCCTTTTTTCCCTGCTTTGTAGCTAATAAGGAGCCAGCGAGGAGAAACTTTAACATCATGAAAATATTCTACTTCTCATCAAAATTTCCCCACTCTAGCATTCACCGATGATTCTTGCCTGATTCAGTCCCTCCTATGGGGAGAGCAAAAAAATCATTTTCCTACTCAACCTGTACCTAAACTTTTACCAGGTCCTCTCCCCCATTCTACTTATTCACATGGCCTCCCTTCTCTCTATGTGTTTCTATGCATGCATGTATGTATAAATTTATTCATCTACTTATTACAAATATATACTCATGAATTTGTTTTTTATAGGTTTATAGTTCATTACTGTACTTAATTTTTTATAATGATTCCAGTGTTGACTAGTGGGCACTCTTCAGCTGGCTTCTGCATCCGTGTATAATGATGCCGCCTG